AGACTATGAACATTTTCTGCCCTGGACTTTGCTGATAATAGGTGCTCAATAAGTTTTGGGTGAATGAATAAGTCAAATTTCTCACACTTTAAGAAAAAAAGTATAAAGAGTCAATGATATCAAAGTCTCAGTTCCCTTTCTTGCCCCAGTCCCATAGCATTTTAGACCTGGGTAGGTTGTGTTATACCAAACGGGCTTTGTTTTACACTTAAGTGAACTTGGTGAAAGCATTGCAATTGCCTGCGTTTTATGTATAGAGAAATTACCTCTGTCCTGATTTGCAATATCTGTGCTATTTTGGGCTGTTTTTCTCTTTTGGGCCTATTTATATTGGAGCAATAATTCCACCATTTGGCTACACAGAGGCTCAATTAATATTACAAATACGGTCCCATAAAATTCGGAGCTTGACATTAGGACATTTTGTTGCTAATTACTCTCCAAGGTTTTTAATTTCAATTCCTCCTTGGTGACTTAGTTCAGAAATTCAAGGGCACAGTTATTACCCCCAAAGGGAAAGGAGAACTAAGAAATGCCAACTTTCTATTTGCACTGCCTTTTGAAGTTATCTAATTTTTGATTGCCTTTCCTCCTTTTTTTCTTGCCCACAAAACAATAAACAAAAACTGAAACAAAGATATACATTTCTGGAAAAAAATGGAAGCACACCTTCAGTAATATATTCATTCAAATAATATTTACTGAACACCTATTGTTTGTCAGATCCTGTGTGCTAGACACTGAAGATAAAAAAAAAGAAATAAGCCCCTCACAGTCTTGGGGGTCTAAAAGTGCTGAGGATTCTCAGACACATCTGGATACATTTGAGGGAGCTGCTTATAAAGGGGCTTGATAGTTATCATCCATCCCAAAGTACTACATTAGTCTTCAGGGGTTGAAGTCATGGGAACTTTGGTCATTTCTCATTTGAAGACTCTGGCTAACTGTAAGGAATCTGCATTTTAATAATATTTTGAATGGGTTGATAAAATAGGAACAGATGGTTAAAGTTTGTCATTTCAGGAAAAATATTAAAATATTACGCTGCTTAATCTGTCTCTTTTTCACACTCTTCCCCATCCTCTCTCCACTTCATAGACAGTCAGATGCAATACAATTTAAAGCAAAATACTAATCATATCTTTTAGTCACTCTAGTTCTTCTCTGAAGGGACCCTAACTTTATTAGCCTGGCTGGCTCCTTAAATGCTTTATTCCAATGCTTCCTATAAAGTGTTGTTTTGTAGGGACATAAGAAGTGGTAATGAAGTAAGACTAACTTGGATGTCTCTCTGCCATGAAGAACATTAGCTCTCCAAGTGCTTTACTAACCAGAGAAGACCCACTCCTTGAGGGACTCAGCAGGGTAGAAATGAGTTGGGTAACATGTCTCATCCACTTGCCCCTGGGCTTTGTATGCGGAGAAGCTCTGACTGCTGGCATCTCCTGGCCAAGAAAAGGCAGAATGTCAATGTTATCACTGCACTTGCTTGGATTTGCCTATGTTCCAACTGTATTTCTCTGAAGTCTTCCTACCATTCTGCTTGGATGAAGCATCAAATGAGATCAACCCTTGGGAGAGGGAAGCGAGTTCTGCTCTGGCAATGTTGCCAGAAACTCTTGGGAGAATGAGCATCGTGAGCCACTTACCCACTGCTTGCCGACTTCAGTAGCAAAAGACTCCAGAATGCTCCTGGATAAACATCATCTTTGTGGCCACACATTGTTTCATGAGCTGAGTCATCAGCCTGGCTGGCTCCTTAAATGCTGTCTGATTATCCAGGCAGCAGAAAACAAGGAGAGAAGATATGAAGTGTAGCTCATCAAGCTTTGTAGAGGGCCAGTCTCACTCAGCAAGGTGATGGGGAATTTGCTATTATGGAATTTGCTTATGACAAAATAATTATTAATCAATTTAAATCTCATTTAAGAGGAAAAAAATGATGCTTTCTGCATTTTTTGTATTTAAAAATCTATTGGTTATAGACATTTAAATAGCCACCCATCTTAAAGAATTTCCTGCTTGAAATTTGAATCCTTCCTCATTCATCAACTTGTAATTTATCATCTAAGATAATTAGGTAAACCCCAAAGTAACAGTGATATGATAAGTCAAATTGCAGACTTCTTTGTTTTGCAGATAAATTGTTCTACCATGTTTATCTTTTATATAGCTACTCAATAAGACATTTTAAATGAATTTTAAATTAAAACCAATGTAACTTATATCAAGGAAATTTACTTTAATTAACTCAAGTTTCTGCATTTGGAGATTTGTGACTTGCTGAGGTAAGCATACCAATTCTCTCTTCTAACCCATTTCATTATGGTCTCAGTAAACAGATCATTCACTCAAGAGTATGTGTTAAATTCCTATTAGGTGGCAGGCACTATGTAAGTCTGTGTGGGAGGTGAAGATAAATGAAGAGCAATACTTGTCACTGAAGATGTTTGTCAATGTGCAAGGCAGACATATTGGATCTCTTGGAGGATGGTAGGAAGAGCAAGTGTTACAGCAAAGACCTTGTTGGGAAGGAATCCACTTCAACTGAGGGCAGTTGGGGAAGCCTTTCTGGGGAAGGTAGCCCTGAGACAGTCCTTGTAGGGTAAGGATGGTCTGTAAGTTTCAAGGGAGGAGAGGATGAGGACTGAAAAACACATCTTGCAAAGGTCCAATGAGAGCCAGGGAATGGTAGTTGCTTGTGTTTGGAGTTCAGATAACTCTGGAGAATTCTGTTAGATCAGTTACCAGGAGGTGACAAGCTCAGAAACCAGGCTTTCAGGGACTGAGATTTAAATAATTTTGTTGAAATACAAGGATCTGGGGTGGATGATTCTCCTTCGAAGTCAGATGGAGAGAGGAGGAAGAGAGAAGGAGTGGGGAAGATGGAGCTACTGACAAAGTAGGTGTTTCTGGGGCAGCTGGAGCAGGGCAGTGTGAAAATGGGAGACAAGGGGCAACAATAGTGTGGTGGTTCCTGGGGATCCTGAGAAGAAGCAGGCAGCGGCAAGTTGGAAGGCAGCTGGAAGAAGGGAAGGCTCAGACCAGATGCTATGGGAAAGAAGAGCAGGTGCACAGTCCTGCTAAAGACCTATTCCATGATGTGTGTTATACCCTTTTGCTTCATTTCAAGAAAATAATCTAAATTTGGTACCAACAGTAAGAATGTAGGAGTTTAGGATTTATCAACTACCTTCCTTCTCACCTTGGTCCCCTTTCTTTTCATTTTACTGGAGTGGGATTAAGGCACTCCCACTCCAGAGCTGAGGTGTGCAGTTGTGGAGTGAACTTTGTGTAAGAAAGTGTCATCTATGATAACTATGATGGATTCAGACTGGAAACAAGATAGTAAACTTTGGGAAAATTGGTCCTTAGGCTCTGTGACTGCTGTCATGTACATTAGACAAGGGGGTAGAACTAAAGGATGAAATAAGAACTTCATGGTTGTTCCAAAGGCCTGTGTAGCTTGTCCCTGCTTGCTGGACAGATCCCCCTGGAGAGAGCTTTGTCAGAGTGTGACTTTATTCCATGGCATGTTATCCACAGTTGCCAATGGACAGGGATTTATCTTCCTGGAACAGTTAGAAACATAAGTAAGGACATCCCTTTTGTTATATTCTTGTATCTGAAGCCCTCCTCACCCTAAAAGTGTATCTGGCTATTGGGCAATGCAGTCATTCACAGAAATGACATTTTCTGGACAGGAATGGACAGCTTTCACTGGTGGGGCAGGAGTCCAATAGATTAGGAGGTGTTGGCAATAATATTGGTTAACACAGGTCTGGGAGGAGTTACCAATCACAGAGGACACTTTGAAGGAGGAATCAATAAGATCTAGTGATTACTAAGACACTCTCATACTAGTCTTACTTTCCACTCAACAGTTATGCACAGGTGCTGAGTGCTGAGGGGCTAGAAAAATATCTTTAGCTTGGAGCTTGCCTATAAGCAAATAAGCTGCAGTCCTATGGGGAAAATAAGACACAAACGAACACAGCTGGAGTCCCAAACAAAGGAAGAAAGTATTCGTGTGCTAGCTGCAGGATTAGGGCAGGCTTCCTCTCACTGAGGTGCTGAGCAAGGCTTTGAAGAGTGGGGGTGTCCAAGAGTGATAATGAGAAACGACACCAAGGTTTTAACTCCGAAGTGCTGCTGACAGAGATGGCAAGTTCTGCTGGACCGGGAACACTATGTGGTCCAGATGTAGATGGAAAGAAGTCCTGGTCTTTGAGGAGTAGTTAACAGGAGTACTGGTGTGAGGTGTGGGGTGAGTTGGGATGGTGCATGTCACAAGATGACTTGTACTTTATTTATAGAGTGAATACATAGGGAGTACAGGGAGTGAGCCAGAACTCAGGATGGCATGCGAGGCAGAGATTCAGGCACAGAGAGGTGGTTCGTATATGAGCACCCAGAGCCACTGAGGAGGTATTTTCTCAGTAGGAAGGCTGCTGAGATTGTTCAGGTCCCATATATTCAACAAGACAAGGACTCAGGAGGTGTCAGAGGCCTTTATCTAAATGACATTCTGGGGACCCAAGAGGGAGTGCACCCCTAGTGGCAAGTCCACCTTTCGGTGGGGTGCGTGGGTGGGGTACCTTCCAGAAAATGTGGCTGTGTAAGCACTGTGACCTGAGATGGGTGACAACGGTGTTGTCCCTCCTTTTCTGGATCTCCCCTCTGCAACCAGAAGCCCGTGGCCGTCTCTGTGTGCCTGGCAGGAGGCATTAGAAACGGAAGCCAGTAAAGGTTCCTGGGGAGATTCCACCAACCAGCTCTCGCTTTCCTACTGCGCTAGGGGCAGCCAAAGACCCTAGGTGGACCGAGGACTAGTAGGTTCAGGCTGGGCAGTCCAATCACCTCTCCTGGAGTTCCCTCCGTTGGCGCGCGGCAACAGCGCGTGGATTCGCGCGCAGGCTGGTGGCACGAGCCCGGGCAGCGCGAGCCCGGGCGGCGCGAGCCCCCGCGCGCCGGGGAGCGGCGCATGCGCGGGCGTCCTTCGAGCCCGCTGAGGCGAGCCGAGCCGCGGCAGCACCCGGAGCCCAGCGGCGGAGCTGAGAAGGCACTAGCGGCGCGGCGGGAGTGGTGGCGACGGACAGGTGGCTAGCTTTCGCCCGGGCCACAAGGGGCTACTGGGGCGCCCGCAGAGCTTCGCTGTCTGGACGTGGCGACGGTGGCATCCCGGACGGCCTGTGAGGGATGCGCCGCCCACTGCCCAGCGCCGGCTGACCGCCCCCGCCTCGTCTCGCGGTGCGCCACAGCCGGGCCCGCGGCCGTTCCCGCAGCGCCGTCGCCCGGCCGCCGCGCCCGCGGGGCCGCGCCCGGCCCGGCCATGTGGACCCCCACGGAGGAAGAGAAATACGGCGTAGGTAGGTAAGGCTTGGGCCTGGCCGCGGCCGGGGATCTGGGGAACGCTCAATCCGTGCTCTGCCGCTCCCGAGCACAGGCTGTATGGCCTCCGCTCTGTGCGAGCGCTGGGTGGGTGCGGGTGCAGAGGTGGGCGCGGGTCTCTGGGAGCCTGGAGGGCGGCAGGGGGCGCTGGCGGCGCGGCCTCGGCAGGTGCGGCCCGCTGGAGGGGTGGGCAAGGCCAGGGCAGTTGCCTGAGGTTTCTGCTGTGCGGCTCAAGGCAGTTTACCCAAGATGCTGGATTCTGAGAATCTGCTTTTCTCTTTCTCCAACCTCGATTTTAATGAATTTCCGCACCTGAATTGATGAGTCGGATAGCTGTTTATTTTCTGACTGAAATCTTACAAATAAAGAATGAGATCGTTGACATCATTTTTTCCCAATTAAAAAATTTGCAGATATTTGAGTGGAGATGTTTGATCCCTTTTAATTTGTTTTGTCGTATCAGAAATAATTACCTTGCAATGGGAAGTGTTTTAGACATGTATCCATGCTAAGTTTAGTATATCTTATAGACACAGTTTTGTTTAAAAAATGTGTTCACAGGAAAACGTTATTCCTCTTTTTATCTGTTTTGTGAAATTCCAGAAGCGAAATAATTCTTTTTAACAACCAGTGTCTTTGAAAAGAATATTCAGTAATTTAAAGGATTCACTGTTGTACTTTTACAGTGTTATTATTCCATGACAATTACACGACAAAAGAGTTCAGCCACATTGTATTGTTATGAATCACCTATCATCGTGTTCAGTTAGAAACATTTAAAATGTTGAGTGTACAGGTTTTTATTTTTTCTAAGCTTGTAATAGAACATTCTAAATAGGGAATCTCTCCGAACAGAGGTTTTTGCTTCCATGTTTTCTTACAAGTTTAATAAAAATTTAGTTCATAATTCATTATAAAGTGACGTTAAACTGCAGTGGTAAGGGTTGTTTTGGGATATTGTCAGGCAAGTTATCATATAAAGATTGAATTTATTTAAATTTAAGGACCCACAGAGAGATCTTCTAGGTGGTAGAAAATCTTGTTTTTAAAGGTAACTTTCCAAAGTTTAAATTACGTATGCTAGGAGGGAAGTGATAAAAAGAGCCCTAGTCCTAGAGTCCCTGTTGAAAAGGAATCCGGAAATGATGCCAAGAACTGGGAATTGCCTCTAGGGTTGCACCCTTTCTCTTACAGCATTCCGTGAATACCAAGTTGATGCTGTGAGTTAATGGTTTTTCTTCACCATAACTTGTTCCCAGAACTGTTTAGTAGAATAACAAGTAATTAAAATGAAATAGTCAACTGTTCAGTAGTACCTGATTAATTTCTTTGCTTCTGGGTAGGAGCTCTGAATTAGTGGAGATAGTGGCCTTGAGAGTCTTGGCTTTTCTTTGTTGGTGCTGTGGGCAAGTTGCTTAACTGATATTTTCTTAATGCATAAATTGGGGATAATGCTTATTTATTTTACAGGGTTGTGGGCATCAAATGAGACCATACTGAGTACTCAATAAATGCTATTTTTTTCTTTCCCCCTTAGTACTTAGAATAATAATGCTAGTTCTGAAACAGACCATGCAAGGCCATCAAGGTAGGTATATGAGGATCTAGCATTTGGTGTGTGATTTAATCAGGATGATGGAATGAAATTCTTGCATTCCTAGGACTGTGTGCTTAGCTTTAGAAAAAATTGTTATTCCCTGTGGATGGGTACAGCATTGGGCACAGGGCAGGACTTAAGTGCTTATAAAATGAGAGAAAATTATCCTGAAGACATTTTCTTAGCAGCTGTGGTTTGGTAATTTAGATGCCTTTTTCTGCTAAGCAAGGCAACTCCTTATTTTTCTTACAGCTTTCTTCTGTCCCTTCCTCAGTTATGGTCTAAAAGTTTTTGTGTAAATTGTTAAAACTCAGGGTACATTTTTTTTCCATAAGCTTGGGCTATATGGAAAGCTTAGAGCTATACTCCTAGGCCTTTTCATAAAATCCAATTCAATCTATAAAGCATCTTCAATATTGTATTTATAATGAGAAATATCACCAATTAAAATGGCATTTTAGTTGCATCGTTTAATTGCTTTGAGGGCTTACTTGACAATTTAACCATAATCATTGTTCCTGTGAGAAATGTTTTGAGTTCAGCTTTGATTTTTTATGACTAACATGGAGCACAAATTCTGTTTCTGCCTCTAAATATATAAGAGCAAGGAGAGAAAACTTATTCTTACTTTCTACCAATTTGGAGAAAAATGAGAATTTCCTTTTGTCCTGATAGTGGTGAGGGAAGGAAAAAGGAGTCCCCTCTTGCAGCAGTACAGATTTTTTCCCCACTGTAGCTCTTCAACTGTATTTGACATTGGTAAGACTTTTGAGATCCTGTAGTAATATCTACTATATTTTAATTTTTTTATATCGTAGGAATTCTGTACAGATGACATTTATGAGTTATTTGGTTTATTCACTTAGGACGACATGACACCTGAGCTTGCCTTTCTGTTGTAATATTCTGTGATTGACTTTGGGAACGGGGAGGACACTGCCCTTTTCTGAGGATCTGTCAGTGATGGGCCAGTCCTTGCACTGGGGAATTCCTCTTACATTACATTTTGTAGATTCCCAGAGTAGTCCTAATATTGTCTCTTTTATACAGATGAAGAAACTGAATCTCAGAGGTTGTTTGGTCCTTCAACAATTGAATATTTCAGTATTTATTTTTCTTTTCTTTGTAGTGGGCAGTATTTTCTGTGCGCAGTTTTGTATTGTTGTGAAAAGTGAAGGTATGCTTCATGTTTTTATGATCAGGTGTTTATATTTTACAAGGAGTATCCCCATTCATGATTTTACGTGACCCTTATACCAAAAGTTAAGTGATTGATTTAAGGTTCTAAGATAGTAAGTGCTGAGTTGACATTTGAATCCAGGACTTTAGGATTCTAAGCCTCAGATTCTTTTATTATACCATGTTGCCTCTGAATGGAATTTGTCATTAGTGTGTCTTTGGATTGGAAGTTGAAACACACTCTACAGACTTTGCAGTTTAAACTAGGTAGATATATTGGACATTTTATAAGAATACATGGTATTTATTGCTCTGTTTCTGAATGTAACATTATATTGATAATGAATACAGATGCAGGGCATGAAAGTTCAAAAGGCAGGTTTTCTTAATGGCCTGAGGAGTATGTTGGGTACTATTGTTAATAGGGAGGAAAGAAATTGAATTTAGCAAACATTTTTAGCCTGGCTTCTCAAACCAAGAGGGTTTGTTTTGATCTCATATTCTGTAAAGCCAATAGGGAGTAATCAACAGGAAATTATTAGTGATTTTTTTCTTTTGAGATAGAATCTTGCTATGATGCTGAGGCTGGTCTGCAACTCTGGGGCTCAAGAAGTTCATAATTTGGCCTCCCAAGTAGCTGGGACTACAGGTCTGAATGATCATTGCTGCTGTGCTGATATGTGTGTGTGTGTGTGTGTGTGTATGTATGTATGTACTGGTGATCGAATTCAGGGGCACTCGACCACTGAATCACATCCTCAGCCCTATTTTGTATTTTATTTAGAGACAGGTTTTCACTGAGTTGCTTATTGCCTCGCTGTTGCTGAGGCTGGCTCTGAACTCATATCCTTCTGCCTCAGCCTTCCAAGCTGCTGGGATTATAGGTGCATGTAACCTGCTCAGTTAATATGCAACAATAGTTAGTAGATTTCAGATGCACAGTTTATCACATAGTGTTAGAATATACTTTACAAACATTAAGGTAAATTGCAAAGGTAGCAACATTTTCTGTGTAGCATTTTAAGACATATTCTAAATAATACATTCTGAAGCATAGCAAATTGAAAAGAATGGTCACTAAGATTGAAAGTACTTTATATTCATACCATAATTTACATTCATGCTAGATTTAATTTTTTTTGTATGTGCCAGGCAACCTCTACCACTTGAGTTATGTTTCTAGCACTTTTTATTTTTTATTTTGAGATGGACTTACTAAGTTGTCCATATTGGCCTTGAATTTGTGCTCCTCCTGCCTCAGCCTCCTATGTAGATGGGATTGTAAGCTTGTGCCATTGTTCCCAGTTTAGTTTTTAGTAGTTTGTATTTTGAGTCTTTTTTTTGAATGTTTGTATCTTTATTCTTGATTGTAAAATGATCTGAAACTATTCCCAATATGCGAGCATCACTGAGTATGTCATATTAGAGTTTTAATTTCAATGTTATATTCACAAACCTGTTTATGATTATGCTCTCAAGTCTCTTGCATACCCTTTTCTTGACAGATTTTGTATGTTGTATTTTTTGCATGTACAGGCTCTGGAAACCTTTTTTTATTGTTAAGTTTATAATTCATCCCCAAATTATTTTAGCTTCCACTGAAGTATTTGCAGTTGATTTGCTGTATCACACATTAGGATACTTTAGTAAAGTTAATGACCGTGTTGGGAAATGTCATTCAGAGGCTTCCTGTTTTCCTACAATGGGATAAAATCCCAACCTCCTGCTTCCATCTGTTTCTCCCTTACTCTTCAAAATTCATTCATGAGCTCTTGCCGATGAGTGAGAACTAACATTGATGGGAGAATTAAAGTGTGATAAACACAGAACTTTTTAGTGTAGATTTAGTACCATACCACCACTAAATGAACATTTGGCTTTTATTCAAGCACATCTAGTAATGGTGCCTTCACCACTTTTTGGGCTAGTGCGTTTTATTGTTAGACAGTTATGTCTAGAAATTCTTTGTTATTGAGTAGAATTAATGACTCCCTGTATTGTTCTGTGCCTTGTCACATTCCTCCTGACTAAAACAGTCAGGGTCACTCCAGGGGAACTGGGCTGCATGAAATAACCACATGAGAGATAGAGATATCTTTTTTTGGGGGGGGCGTCCTGTGATGGCTGGCTCCTCTGACCTCAAGGGTGGGGGGGGGAGAGAGAGAGAGAGAGAGAGAGAGAGAGAGAGAAAGAAGAGAAGAG